ACCTTTCTTCTGAATGCAGGGGGTGGGGGTGGGGGTGGGGGGAGGGGAGGCAACCATCCCAGGAAGCAGGCCACGGTGCTGAGGACAGGGATGAGCTGAGCTTTCCAGGCCCGTGGCCCTCTCTCTCTGCCGCATCCAAGGCAAGATGAAGCTCACCTGGACGTGAACCCTATACTTTTACTAAACATGTTTCTAATGGGTTGTTTTAGGGAATGGAGCGAAGGGCTTTGCATAGGGCCAGACAGTCTGGAAAGGTATGGGAAGAACTGAGCGGATAAGATGGGAACATGAAGGAATTTCTAAACCCTTGAGTGTGAGGTCCTCATGGCTGGTGGCAACTCTCTCTCTCTCTGTCTCTCTCTCTCTCCCCCACAGGCTCTCTGTGTTCAGCATTGTCGCTCCTGTGGCCTGTGGAATCCTCATTAAGAGCCTGGTCTTCACTGTCCTGTTTGTTGTCACTCAGAGGTCATTTGGACTCTAGATCCAGGAACCCACGACAGTGACCCTGACCTCCATCCATGTCTACCTGGCAGGTGTTGGAAGCCGAGTGGAGAGGGACCTGAATTGAATCTGTGCCCACAGGTGATTCCTAGGCCAGGATTGCCCACTCCCTGGCCCTGTCCACACACATCACCCTCAGAAGAGAAGATGTGGCTCCCGGCAGGACCCAGCTCTCCATTCCATCTGCAGCTTGGCGTGAGATCAAGACAGAGTCCAGTGCTTTCCACTGTCCCTCTCCTGTGGGGTTGTGAGGCTGAGTGGGCACAGCTGATCTTGCTGCCCCACGTCCTTTCCCTGGACTACACAATTTAGGCCACATGGACAGAACTTAGAAGTGTCCTCCTTCCCCCGCCACTGGAGCGAGCCTCCCTCTCTCGAGAATCCGATGCCTGTTTTTTCCTTTCATCGTGATTGTCCCAACATTCCTACCCATGCAACGAGGAGAAGAGAAGAGGCCATGGTGGGAATTAAGTAACTGGGAATGAGAAAGTGACGCTGACGGCTCGTCCCGGGAAAGCACAGGAGACAAGATGGGCGTGTAGGGCGATGGGTGGATGGAACCCGCCTTGCCGGGTGCACTTTGCCTCTGGACCCTGAAGCTAACCCATGAAGGTGGAGGTGTATGTGACCAAGGCGAGGCCACGCGAGTCCCACCTACTGGCAGGAAGGAAAACCAACTCTTTTGCCGAGGGGATCCATAGCCACGTGGAGAGCAAGGAGTTCTGCCTCTCGTCCTTGAATCACATGAGGGGCAGGCATGGCAGGGTGACAGTAGCCCACCACTGAGGCTCTGGAGGCTGTCCCTTGTGGGCCCCTTACCTCTCACTCACCATCCTCCTCCATTTGGTCTCCCCTGACGGCTCCCATGCTGTCTCTGGGACCCTCCCACTGGGCCCCATGAAATAGGTATGCAGGCCACCCGCGTGTGTCCCCCAGCCTCATACCAGGACTTCCTATCTCCTACCTTTGGGTTCTAAAGCAAAAGGGTCCTTCCAATTCAGCAATGGTCAAGGTCATTGTCATCCTAAAGCCTCCAAGAGCGAACACACCTTGCCACGTAGCATCTGTCTCACGCCAGAAAAATATATTCCTATAACCTCCAAGACTTTCCCCTCCTCCTGTGGGGGAAAAAATACCTAGTTCTCTGGTGCATCCTTCCATCCCATGAGGGCCTCCTTCTAATGAATATCACTCTGTCTGGACCCACCCAGGGATGGCACTGACCTCAGAGATGATTTCTGATCACCGTTTTGAGTCCATTTGAAGGGGTGTGAGTGGAATTCAGTTCGTCCTGGAGCTCTGGCCAGTCTGCAGAGAAGGACTTATCCAGAAGCTGAGCATCTCAGCTCCTTCCCTGTCTTGGACTGAGCAGCTCAGATGCAGCGACTGAGGTGGCTGGTCTGGGACCTGCATTTTAGCAGTTTCGATGTCGCTCCAGTTTATGAAGGTGACAAAAAAAACCAGGTCGGGGTCGGGGGGACACTGTAATTAGATGCTGTCCAGAAAAGGCAGGACACACTGGAGCAGTGTTTCCCAAATGGCATCCCTTAGAACACCTGCATTGCATTATCTGGAAGCATAAGACACATGTTCAGCTTCCAGGGCTCCTGCGGACTTGTTGCATCATAGCATACAGTTCTCTTCATGCTTCTCAGGTTTGTTTCAAAGAAATCATAATGCTGTCTGTTAAACACCATGACATCCAGTTGCATGGCTTGGTGAGTCATTGAATTACAGGTTAAGTTGTATTTAAGTCCAATAAATGACATTTGCCTAGAAAGTTCTGTGCACTACATTACATTGGAAGACAAGCGGTCATGCTGGACACTCTCAAGTGCACACTTGGGAACCTGCCCATGTGGGTGATGTCAACAGGCTCTGTCAGGCACCACCTTCTGGCTGGGTTTAGCCAATGGTCAGCAGGAGAGGACAGCAGAGGGTGGGAAGAGACGAGGCCAGGGAGTGGCATACGTGTTTGCATTCACTCTGAAGGTTCCCTTAAGCCCCTCACCTAATGGCCACTAGCTCCAAGTTCAGGTGACTGCTCCATCCCCTCACCCTGCAGATCTGTAGGTGGTGACAGCTCACTACGGCCGCCAGATTCAGTTACTGCAGCATCCCATATTGGCTTCCCCAAATGCACGTATCTTTATTAAATGTTCCTTAGTTATTCAGTCTTGGCGAGCCTTCTGCTTCTTGCTGGAAACTTGGCTGACAAAACAATACTGTGTCTGGGTTTGAGTCCCAGCTCTGCATTCTTGCTGTCAGTATGTCTGATCTGGAGTGACTCCATTTTCTGGGCCTCAGTATGCCTCATGGCCTCTAAGGGCACAGGGCCACCTAACCAATGTCAGTGATGGATGTCAAGACCAACAACAGCATTCTGCTTGGGCTATACTGATAGCAGAGGGATTGCAGAAGGAGCCTAGGAGCTCACAGGGTCAATGAGGAGGCTGGAGAACCAGGTTTAGAAAATCGGTAGATACCAAGAGGGAAGGCAGAGTAGAGGCCCCAGCTGGGATTATGCAGGAGATGATCTGGCGATGTTTCTCTGGACACATAAGTCACCAGCCACTTATTATATGCTGTTCCTGGACTCCGAATGCTTAAATTGCCTCCGTGTAAGTCATCTCCCATGGGCCCTGAATCTTGAATCAATCCAGTTCTCGGGATCCAGAATCCTGGGTGAAATCATGCATTTTGCTGAGCTTAGGTCAGTGCCTGTGGGCATGTCATAGCTGACCGGAAGAAGTGTGGGAGGAATATTTGCCTTCCTACTTAACAGAAGGGGAAGCAGAGGTCCACAGTTCAGGAAAACTTATGCGTTGGGCCACATTCACCTTTCCAGTAAAGTATTTGGTGCCAGAGAGTCAAGAGATGACGAGTATCCATTGCATACTCTTGCGGCACTGACTGGATTAAGTGAGAGAACTGGAGTAAATGCCCAGGGCCTCCTCGTGGTCATTCACCTGTAGCTATTTTAGCTGTGGTGTCCGTGTCTATGCTTTCTCCCTGACTGGGTTGCTTGGGGAAGTCTACATCCTACACAGGCAGAGCTCAGAGCAGGCCTCAAGGTGCATCTGACTGCAAACAGGGCTTTTGCAAGCATGGTCTATTTGGACACCTGCCTCAGAGTCACTAAGGTTGCTTGCTACCATGCGGACTCCTGGGTGTCTCTGCAGGCCTGCCAACTCAGAGTCCTGGCGTGTGTGTGTGTGTGTGTGTGTGTGTGTGTGTGTGTGTGTACCGCCAGGCTTCTGGAGTGATTCAGCCACCTGCCCATACCTGAGAACCACGGTGTGGAGTAAGACTGGCGAAAGTGTTGTCATCTGAAAGCTCAACCCAGACCTTAGAGGGTGGGCACAGTTGGGATGCACAGTGTCATTTCAGATGGGGACTATGGTGTGCGGGTTGGCGGGATGTGGTGGGCAGTGGCCAGTTGTTTTGGAGACTAGAGGTACAGAGTGGAGCAGAAGGGGGGACCCCACACGGATGGGGCTAGACGTGCTGTAGTGGAGAACGGGGAGCCGCTGAGTGTTTCGCAATACGACTGTGACATAATAGAGGTAGGAAGGACGCTGTCTCTTCACCTTCTGCTTTTTCCTGGGCTGTTCCCTTGTTACATTTCCCTCAGCGTTTCTCAATCTGAAGAAACAGCAGCACCCCTGGGGGACAACCGTAGACACCCCCCATGGGGCAAGGTCCTCCTGCCGCTAGAGAGTCCCTGGCAGACAGAAGACTCAAGGAGAAGGACGGGATGCAGGGGGCAGGCCAGCAGAGGTGGCCACCGATGGGGCTGCTACTGCTGCTGCTGCTCTGTGTCTCAGGTAAGGGCAGGAGGGTGAAGGGTGGGAGGAGCAGCTCAGGGCTAGGGGCAGAGACCATCTGGAGGAACGCAGCGGCTAAGAGGAACTTTCTCTCATTTCTTTAGAATGGACTGGAATGAGATCAGGGCCTGTGCTAGAGACAGGTCAGGGGAAAGGAAGGCAACAGACGCAGAGCACTCTGTCCATCCTGGTCCGGCAGGGACTGTGCCATAAGACAGGTTGGAGGTTCTTCTGGGGCATCTTGAAGTTGAGGATGTGATGTGGAGCCAGCCAAGCCATCCCCCAGCATCACGCTGGCATCCCGGGAGATGCATAGAAATGCAAAGCCAATCTCCCTTTGGAGGAACATGTTCAGTCAGGAGGCAGAGGAGGCATGCAGAGAGGAAAAGGTAAACAAGCACCAAGGGCAGAGTAGCAAGAGGGACACAAAACGGAAATGGAAATCACTCTAGCAAGGCTCTGAGAAGAAAGGTGGTGTTCAAGCTGCATTCGAATCCCATCTCTACCACTTTCTGACCTCAGGCAGTTCCCCTAACCTCCCCGAGCCTCAGTTCCTTCATTTGTAAATAGTGCCCAGACACAGGTGCTCATTTTGTGGATGGCGTGTACATCAGAAAGTTGCCCTAAGAATCAAACAAACAACAGATGGGTGGGAAGCTCTTGGCTCAGAGTTTAGGGCATAGTAAGTGCTTAATAAAAGCTATGGATGACGATGACGACGGTATCACCAGGTTTGGGGTGATGCGTAGTATTGAGGGCCAAGAAGGGAAAGAGGAGAGTGTCCGGAGGGACTGTTCTGGTGGGCTCCCCTCTGGATCAATGGAATGGAGACAAACGGAGAGGGTGGAGGACTCGGCTTCTTGGGGACACCAGTAAAGTGCGGGACACCTCCCTCTAGGGCTCCAAGCTGAGGGTGAAAGTGAGGAGCAGAAGTGCCTACAGGAGGGCAGGAACCTGACCGTGACCTGTCCTTACAACATCAACAAGTATGCCTTCAGCCTGAAGGCCTGGCAGCGGGTGCGGAGCGACGGCAGCCTGGAGACTCTGGTGATCACGGAGACTAGAAATGCAGACCTAAACGTGGCCCAGGCTGGGAGGTACCTGCTGGAGGATTATCCCACTGAAGCCATCATCAAAGTCACCATGACCGGGCTCCAGAGGGGGGACGCAGGGCTGTACCAGTGCGTGATCCACCTCACTTCTCAGAACCTTGTCATCCTGCACCATCGGATTCGGCTAGTGCAGTGCAGTGGTGAGCATCAGGGAGACCCAGGACTCCGGGGGAGGGTCTCCTCAGGCACAGAGGGTGGGCTGGGACCCTATCCGCCATGAGGGCTTGCTGCCCAGAGAGTAACGGGGAAATTCCAGACGCGAAGTCAGGGCACCTGGGCCTTCCATTCTCTTGCTTTGTGACTTTGAGACTCAGAAACACAACTCCTCTCTGGGCCTCAGTTTTCTCACCTGTGAAACAAGAAAGTTGGACGAGGTGAACGAAAACACCACCGGACTCTGTGGGAAACTGGCAGGTACTGGGACTTGCGAGGTGCCAGGCTGGTCTGGGAGAGCTGCTGTCTCTCAGTGTGAGGGGACACTCCAGAGGGTAACTCACCTGGTCCTTTGGCAGACAGGTGGAGCAGCTGGGCCCCCACAGGACTCACTCGATTTTCTTGTCCCTGGAGAATCTATGAAATGGGCTCATTTTGACAGGAAGGCGCTGTCCCTTTTCTCAATGGACTTAAAAAGTAGTAGAGAGCACAGTGAAGGGCCTTTCACCGACCTTTAGTTGCTTCTTGTTGGCGAGGACACCCCTTTGTTAAAAAAAACCTGTCAGCCCAGGTGGGGACGTGGCGTGGGAGGGGCTGTCCAACGCTTTTGCCTCAACCTTCTCAATTGACTTCCTTTGGAGCTGTGGTTCGGGTGGCCTCCACCACCGTGGGGTCTTGCTCTTCTGCCAGCCTGAACATATGACTCTCAGGACAGGATTGGGTCCAAGTCACACTTCTTAGGATCTGTAAATAGAGTTAGCAGGCAAAGGGAGGGCATTGCAGGTAGAACCTCAGGAACAGAGTCAAACAATTCCTCAAAGCTTGGAGCATGCCGTGGCCCCGGTAGTTAACCAAGGGTTCTCATAGTTAAGCAGCTCCATTGCCCTAGACTCAGGAATATTTTATTAATTTGGCCATAGTCCTCGAAAACTGTCAAAGAACTGAAACTGCAGTCTTTACAAGGTGTGACCATTGCAGATTGCCTGGTGACAGAAGGTTCTGGATCTGAATATACCTAGTGAGCTTGGGCAAGTCCTGCACTATTTCTAGGCTGCAGTAAACTGGTGGGGCTTCTTCACTGTGATACTCATTGTTTGGGTCGGAGACACGAGGGCCCTACATTTCACACTTGGCAAAGCCGGCGGCTCTAGGTGCCAGTGGGTGGACTGCAGTCCTTTTAACTTTGTCTTTTTTTCAGCTCTGGGGTGGGGGGGGTCAAACCCAGGGCTTAGTGCATAATAGTCAAGCACCCTGCCACTGAGCTACATCCTCAACCCTATTATTTTATTTTAAGACAGGGTCTCACTGAGTTGCTCAGACTTGTCTCAAATTTGCAATTCTCCTGCCCCCACCTCCTGAGTGGCTGGGATTATGGTGAGAGCCATCGTGCCTGGCTAACTCAAACCTTAATAAAGACAGGAGAAGTGATTGAGAGTGACCGAGCCCATGCTAGTCAATAAGAAGTGTATCAAGTTAACACAGGATAAACCGAAACATAATTATTTTCCTCAAACCACAAATAACATGGAGTAACATTTTAATAGCAGCTTTGCATTCCTTCTCTCCAGTAATTAAGGAAACTTTAGGCTAATGTGGCGATGGAAATGACATCTTGCACAGATTGTCCCTGCCTAGAGGAATTGCAGGGGGAAAAAGATAGAAGCCTCCACAAGGACACCTGTAGTGATCACTGAGGTTGTTTGGAGAGCGTAAGAGAGTCAGGGACTGGGTTTTGCTCAGCTAGGTTAAATAAATAGTTGGGGGTTTCTTTCTGGCGTGCTGTTGAGCCCCGTAAAGGACACTCCTCGGTGGACGGTGGAGATGCCTTCTCTATTTGTTCTTTAGCTTTTGAGGTGGGGGAGGACACAGCAGTGACTGAGCACAGAGAGAAACCCACGTAATGTGAGGCTATTGGGAGGTGATGGATGTTGTCCCACCAACCCCACTTGGGAAGTGAATCTGGTGTGGGGATTTGAGGGGAGAGAAAGGTGGGCTGCAGAGGGCATGAGGAGGGAGCTCCCTGCCCTCCCTGATGGACAAGATCCATCACCAACAGGAAGTAAGTCCAGGAGGAGGTTGTGGGCATGGGGTGTGGGTTGGCTGAACCGTCATGGGCTGAGTGGAGGAGGGGCTGAGAGCTGAGAACTGGGCCAGGTGCCCCGGATGAGGCCCTGAAGGCTGAGACCAGCAGGGTGTCACACACATACACAGGCACAGGGTTGGGAGGCCCGGGCCTGGGGGCTGGCTCTGTTGCTCTCCACTGTGTGACTGTGGACACCCCCTGTCCATCCTGCTCCTTGGGAGGGTGGATTGGTGGTGTTGAACCCCACTACCTTTGGCCTTCTGAGACTGTGAACCTTTTCCCCCAACCAGTGTAGCTCCGTGGAACAGTGGCTCAGCCTGTAGGAGAAGAAAGCTGTTCCAAACACCTTGGAGGTCCCTCCCCAGCTCAGAGGAAGTCAGCCAGGCTGGGTGGACAGCTCAGGGTATGCTGCCCCATCTTGGTCAATCATCGCCTGGGCACCTAGTAGGGGCCAGGTCTCACGCAGTCAAGACCCTGAAGAGCTTTGATCTCTTCCGGAGCATAGTCCACACCAGACAGAATGAACCCCCAGAGAGCCCAGATTTGCTGTAAGTTGTGTGTGCTGAGGATCACTGCAGAGACAGAAGCAGAGCAGAGGCACACCCTGAGCTTAGCTGGGGCCCTGGGCTCACCCCACACACATTGTGGACTCCAGAGGATCAGGCTGGACCACCCAGAGGGCTGCCAGGGGGTCCTGAACACAAGCAGGAAGAATGACCTTTATGTAGATTTCTATCCCAAGGCCCCACCCAAGCCTTGGGTGCTAGTCTATCAAGGTGGCATCCAGCAGCCCCAGAGGGAGGTGGGGGTCAGAGGAGCTAAGATCAAACGGGCTTCGGGCTTCGGTACCCCTGTGGACAAGGGGCTGCACCTAGGAGGGGTGGCCTCCTGGCTAGTGGAGTCTGAGCAATCGGAAGACTCTGACTTGGAGCTAAGGAAGGCGTGAGAGAATCCCTTCCTTACAGAGCAGCTCTAAGCACCCCATGAGCAGAGACCCTCAGAGCCCTGGGTGGGGTGGAGCCAGAGGTGGGTACCAGAAACCTCAGAGGTGGCAGAGGAGTTAGAAAGGGCAGAGGGAGGTGGGGGACTGACGTTGGAGAGAAGAGGGAGCAGGGGGTGGAGATGTGTCCTCTACAAAGCCCGAGGACTGAGTGGAGTGGAGCCATTGGGTGGGGTCAAGCAGGACAACACATTCAGGTCCCAGGGAGCCTTGAACGTCTGGCAGTCATGCTCTTTGGGTGTAGGCAATGGGAACATGAAGGGCCTCCTTGGGCTCCTTGGTGGAAAGGGAGATCAGCACAGGGCAACCAGCAGCTGTGTGCAGGAGGTAGGGGTGGGGGTGGGGCTGGTGGCAGGAGACTCGTTAGGTTCCTCTGGGGTGAGAGCAGGGTGGAGGCTGGGGAAGGTGGAGTCCTCATCTGCACAGGGTATAAAAACCTGCTTGGCGGCTCTCGTAGCCAAGAGGCAGGAAGCAGGGGCCTTCAGAGCTGTCCACTCAACAGGCACCCACCCTTTGGGTTCAGGAGGGTCAGGTGGAGGGAGTCACGCTTGCCTTTGACCTGCAGGACTTCTGGAGCTGCCTAGTGTTCCTGCTCTGATTTTTGTGGCCTGCGGATTCATCTTGAACAAGGGCCTGGTGTTCTCAGTCCTGTTTGTCCTCCTCCGGAAGTCCAGGCCTCAGGTACATGGCCAGACTTAAGGTGAAACGAAGGCAGGGCAGAGACACCTGCTCCAGATGATGGGGAGGGTGGGGTTCCTAGCCCCTCCCTGTGCCCTGATTTCTCTTCTCAGAAGGTCTTTGGTCAGGGGGCAGGGCCAGCCCCTGGGACAGTGCCAGGCGTGGGCCAAGACGCTGGGATCAATGCCAAGCGGGCTGAGCGGGTCCCGCAGGATGGGAGGAACTGACAGGAGGTAAGCAGCCCCTTTCCTCAGGGTGGGGAGGCTGGACTCAGGCCTGGGCTGGCTTGAACGGTCATTTCCAAATGCTGTTCATCTCTCTTGCTCCTCTGCTGAGAGCCATAGCCGAGTCCGAATGACGCATGGCATTTTTGCCAGAACAGAGTGGTTGAGAGGTGACACCAGCAAGCCATTGAGATGATAATGGTTATGTTAAGCTGTGTATATTAGACCCCTGCTGTCCGCCTGGGCCTGCTACTTTGGAGTTCTTGCAGGAATTCCCGGAGAGTTCCCATTGGTTGGGGAAGTTCCGGGGAGGGATTTCTGGTTGGTGGTTCCTGGAGGAGCTGAGTGCCTGGCTTTCGGGAGAGTTCCCGGGGAGCGTGTGTGGAGTGTGCTGGTGGAGTTCAGAAATAAAGTTTGTTCCTGCTTCAGTGGCTCGTGACTGCGGCACTCCTCAGATATCCTCAGCACAATGGGACCCAGGGAAACCTCCTCTCTGGAGGCCACCCATTCGCCTTCCTGCCCTAGTGACAGCACACTCCATGCACAGTTCAAGGGAAAATGAAAGGCTTCCTGAAGTCCCACTGTGCGCTCTCTGCTCAGCACCTGTCCCTCCCAGAGGTGGGAGATGGGGTGGAGAGCTGCGTAGAAGGAGCTATTATCAGAGACATCAGCAGGGACCACGGGTCAGCAAGGGATTTGGGCCTTGAATAGAGCAACTGGGACTCATAGAGAAGAGTTCCCCTAAGGACCTTGCATCCCTTCCCCTATAGTCCTCCAGAAGTCCTGCTGGGGACTTCCTGGACCTTGGGTGAAACTTACACCAAGACCCTCACTCTGCTGGTATTTTTTTTTAAAATAAACTTATTTCCAGAGCAGTTTTGGGTTCACAGCAAAATTGAGAAATTGCAGAGTTCCCATATGCTTCCATGCTGTCCCCCCTCAACTTTCCCCACTCTCAAGGACCCCCTCAGAGAAGTGCATTTGTTACGGCCGATGGACCTACATGGACTGCTGAGGTCCATGGTCCTCATTCGGGTTCCCCCTTGGCACTGTGCCTTAATGGCCTGTACCCACCATTATATCCCATGGAAGGGCTTCTCTGTCCCTGAAATTCTCCACCTATCCATCCTTCCCTTCTGGTCATTTTTAAGCACCTCCCCACTCCTGAAAAAAAAAGTTTATTCTGAAAGAAGCTTCAGTAATTAGCACAGAGAAGGAGGGGTCCATTTTAAAGTGAAGCTTCCTTCCCAGACCCTTGGATCTGATCCTCTCAAGGGACAGAAGGGACAGGCTGGCTTGCTTCCTTTGCTTTGCCATCTCCACCTGCCACCTGCGGCCTGGGAAGCCAGGCTGGAGCAGGGGAGAGAGGAGGAAGGAGAGGGGAGGTCTTCCTGTGCCCCATGGGGTTCGAGCTGGGGTTCCTTCACAGAGCGCTGCTGTGGGCTCTTTCACCTGTAGAGTCCTAGACAGGCCCATGTGTCTCTTTCCTGGGCAGCTGCTCCTGCTCCTCCTTTGGCCTCCAAGCCCTTTACAATCCACTTCTTATTTTCTTCTGTGGACTTCTGCAGCACCAGGCAGCCTCTTTGGACAGGATCAATAGCAACAACCTGAGCCCACTGCCTCACAGATGTGTAGTGACATCCAGTCCTCGGGGAACACTCACCCACGAGTCTCATGTGGCCCTGGTGGCTCCCGTACAGCTACCATCAGACTAGCTGATCAGTTTTGGAGTTGAGTCAGACATAGTGGCTGCCTCTTCCAAACTTCAGGGGACACTGGACAAGCTCTCCAAGTCCTGACATTGAAGCTTGTCTCCTTGGGCTTGAGGTAAGGGATGTGTCCACTCCCCCATCCCCTAGGATCACAGCAGACCAACAGCTGTCTCCTGAATCCTCTTCACAACTTCATGCCCTTGAGGGTAATAAGGGTTAAAGCAACAGCAACAGAAAAAAAGTTTTGCCCCCTCCCTGCTTTGCTACCCACCAGTCCCCACTGGTCTGGAACACGGCATCTATTTTCTTAGGACTTGCATGAGTTAATGTTCACTTGAAGACAACAAAATACAGCCTACCTATTTTAAGTAGAAGGGGATTTTTACTTATTTATTTTGGTACTGGGGATTGAACCCAGAGGTGCTTAACTACTGAGCCACATCCCCAGTCCTTTATTGTATTTTATTCAGAGTCAGAGTCTCCCTAAATTGTTTAGGGCCTCTCTAAGTTGCAGAGGCTGGCTTTGAACTCACAATTAGAAGAGGGTTTTTTTTTTAATACACTTTTTTTTTTTTTTTTTAGTTGCAGTTGGACACAATATCTTTATTTATTTATTTACTCATTTATTTTTATATGGTGTTGAGCATTGAACCCAGGGCCTCGCCGGTGCTAGGTGAGCACTCTACCTCTGAGCCACAATCCCAGCTCCTAGAAGGGGATTTTTAAAAAATAGAGTATTAAATGGTTTACAGCATCAGATCCAACCATCAGATCTGGGAATGACTCCCACAGTCGCACTACAGCATGGGACTATTAAGGGGCTACCAGTCTGGCATTAGAAGAATCTGGAAAGTTCCCACAACAGGAAGCTGCTGGCACAGCACTGGCTGTAGAAACAGTTCAGACTTGACTCAGGGTTTGCTGGCAAAATGTGTGCCTTGCTTCCCAGTTAACTTGGCCCCAAACTTTAATCTCGTGTGTATGTGTTTGGTGGGTGGAGTCCAAAATATCTGGAAGCCCAGCTGCCAGTGAGTGTGAGAAATGATTTTGCAGACTGTAGGCTGAAGAAAAGCCCATGAGACGGGGGTGGGAATGAAAGTCAAGTCCACAGCTCGCACCCAAAACAATCGCAGTTGAAATGGACACAAAGATAATTCAAACTAAAATTCAGAGTTTTATTGTTTCTTGTATGGTCAATGAAAGACAAATATAATTAAGTGGAAAATAAACATCCACTCTCGGTCTTATTATTCCAATTAAACACTATTGTTCATTTATAAAAGTCATAATAGCAAGGTCCCAGTTACCCAATAGCACATTGGGCACAAGGTGATATACAACCCTGGAGGCATAAAAAGAGACAGATGCAGAGGACGAATTCCTACGTTTCCTGTTCCAGGATTTATGACACTTTTCTTGGAAACTTCGTGGTGTCTGAGAAAATGACTTCTGTTTATCACCAGTCTTCTTTAATCTATTCCTGGGGCACCCAAGTGATCACTAATCAGTCAGTGATGTGGCAAAATTCAGCTTCCAAGGCGGTCACGTCAGTGAAAATCGTTCCATTTTAGCATCCCAAAAGTTTTTGAAAAACTTGTAAAACTGGAAATGATTGCTTTTGGAGCCAAGGCCAGGTCTTTTAGGATAGAGGCCAGTCTTCAAGGACTGGAGTCCTCTTTGGGGCTTGAAGGGAAGTGATCATCTCATCTATCGCCTTGACCTAAAGCCCCTTGCTGGCTTAGGACTGTCCATCTGTCAAGTGTCCTGGCCTGTCTCCCTGAGTCCAGGCTCCATCAGCCCAACCATACCTCCTAATGAAATCTGCTGGGAACAGAGCCAGATGTTTGGCACTTGAAGGCCAAGTGTGGAATCCCTCTTCTCCTACGTGCTGTGCACTTGGGGAGAAGCCAGTTCCTCTCCCAGGCTGGCCCTCTGCCCTCTCAATCACATAATAAAGGAACACCTACCTGCAGGAAGATGGGAAGGTTAATTTCTTTCTTTTCTTTTTTTTTTTTAAATAGTATCTATTTATTTTCATTTTTTTTAGTTGTAGTTGGACACAATACCCTTTTTCATTTGTTTTTCTGTGGTGCTGAGGATCAAATCCAGTGCCTCACACGTGTAAGGCAGGCACTCTACCACTGAGCTACAGCCCCAGCCTCATGGGAAGGTTAATTTCAATGCAGGTAGGTGAACGTGCTCTGTTTTAGATTTTTTTTTTTCTTTTGAGATGAGGTCTTGCCACATTTTGCCAGCTGACTCCAAACTCCTGGGCTCAAGCTATCCTCCTGCCTCAGCCTCCCGAGTAGCTGGGACTAGAGGTGCACACAAAGTGCTGTTTCAACTTTAGCGGTTTTTGTCTTTTTTCAAGACCTTCAAGCGCCCAAAACAGAGTCAGCATGCTCCTTATTTCAGGGCCTTCATTTACCTGTGGAAATTCTTTGCAGTTATTCAGTTTAATGTGTTTTTAAATATTTCCCACCTTCACCCCCTGGCTCCACTCTGCCCGTTCCCCGCTCCTTGGCATCTTTATTCTGTACATCTTTTCAATCCACTTTCCTAGACTTACTTACACTTATGTAGATCCTTGAACATTTATAGAATTAATTTTGTGGCTTTATTTTCAGACAAATTCCACTCAACTGTATTAAAAAACCTGCAAATCCAGAGAAAAGCTGTCCTGCATACCCATCTTGCACACCATCTTGTGTCATCTGTCACCATGAGAGTGGCTTTGCGACTCTGTCAATAGCAGTTGATGGTCAAGTGGAAATTAGGAGGAAAAGACAACAGACAGGAGAGCAGTAGGGAGACTGTTAGAGGAGAAAGGGACCCGGGGGAGAGGAGGAGAGGGGAAGGTTAAGGGGTGGATAGACCAAGGTGTGTTCACTGCATGTATGAATGTTCCACAATGAACCCATTCTTCTGTGTAATTGAAATGCACTAATAAAATTTTTGTTCTCAAATTTCTATGCTGTCTTTCCCTGCTGTGGGGGAAAAAATAAAATCAAGACTAGTTTGTCTCCATGTGCAATTCATTCCAACATTTCTTTATATCACATAAATTGTACTTCTTGACTTTATTTATTTATTAATTGTACCAGAGATTGAACTCGGGGCACTTTATCATGTTTTGTATATTTTATTACAAATATTTTCTTACACTGAGCCATATCCCCAGCCCTTTTTAGAGACAAGGTCTTGCTGAGTTACTTAGGGTCATGCTAAATTGCTGAGGCTGGCTTTGAACTCACGATCCTCCTGCCTTAGCCTCCTGAGATGTGCATGTGCCATGGTGTCTGGCTTGACTTCTTTTTTAAAAAACA